TAAGTTCAAATAACATTGTGCCTCATTTTATTTTTATTTTTATTTTTATAAACTATATAACATCAATTGACAATCTACACACATACTACCAGTACTAAGACACACACAACACCAAAATATATTCTCACGGTATTAGCTTAGTTTACAACCAATTCTAATGAACCGAATCACCTCATAACGGCAAGCATGTATTTCTGGTATCATTTGAATCACATATGACACTATTTCAACAATAAAATAAATTCTAAGACTATAGGCAATGTCAAACAGTTTGAGTTTATATTCCACGTGATGTATACCCACATGTCATTAATTATTAGTCTAAAAGAACTCTAATTAACTTAAACATAGTAACACATAAAGTCTTAACCCTTACAAGTTCCAAACAGCAAGGTACACAAGGTTTTCCCGTCATTACTAGACATTGTATTTATGGAGTATGCAGTTAAAGTTTTAGAGGACAACCATCCTAATTCTATTAGCTAAAACATGTATATACCGATTACAGTGATGCACTTAGGTTCCTTCAACTAGTAACAATCAGATTTTAAATCACTGAACTCAACAAAACAAGTAATCACTTCATCCAAGTTGTTGTTCCATATTTACACTAAGAACTAGTCTCACTCATGGAGAACAGAGTCACCAAACCCATTCACGCAACCCATATGCTCAAATAAAATAGCTATAGTTATAACACAACCAACCCAAAGCATCCCTTAGAACACCATAATCCATTAACATACCATTGTGGAAGATTACACGGAAAGATAACAAGAAAATCTAAACTAACGCATTCAAGATTCCTACCACAATTCCAGTTCAGAAATATTAAACACCACAAAGCATACATCAATTTTCCAGCCCATCTTTAATTAAACTATATATACCAACTTCTTGATTTATAAAATTGAAAACAGAACTCATTATATATTTGTTTCTACCAAACAACTATCCTGTTCTTCTTTCCTTTTAAGAGAAACCATACCCTTATAATATCGAATATTACAGTAACCATAGAAAAAGGTACGAATCAAGAAACATAAGAATAATCACATTTTACTACTCGCCAAAGAGCGAACAGAGGAGAACTCTCATTTTTCTTAACCCCTATACAACTCAAACATCAATTTAACATAATTCTCATACTCAATTCTTCAATACCTCTTCCCAGTCATCTGAACATTTAATAACTCAATTCCCATCATATAATACTCGAGTGAACACAAATAAATAGAGAGAACCATGCCATTCAACACACACAACTAAACAACTCCTCGTACCTTGATCCAAAGTCCTTACTGCGGCCTCTCAATTCACCAATTCGTACAATAACTCTACTCTTGGCAACCCACAATCTTCATTGTTCACGGTTATAGGGTTTGATCCGAGAAAGAGAAAAAACAAAATTGAAGAAGAAGAAGAACTGGACTAAAAAGGGCTTTTGGTTTTAAAGAAGAAAAGAGAGAAAAAATTGAAGAAGAAGAAGAATGAGATTGGGTGGGTTTCGCTCTCTCTGATCTTCTCTCTTGTTTCTCGAAAACGCTCTCCCCCACCCATCTTAGAAGCAGCCCTCTATATTTTATTTTATTTATTGACGCATCCAAAAAGATCTTTAGAAGAAAATATGTAAAATTAACCCACTTGTGTTCTCATCAAGGTTCTAAGGTGCGTCCATCAAGCCGTGCATACACAATCAACAAATATACCACTAGCCAAAGCTAAATACATTAATATATTAACTATATAATAAATATATAAAGTATATAAATTCACATATTTCCAATTTTAACTTAATTATTTATTATTTTATTTATTTTTCACCACTCTTAGGCATATTCAATAAACATTTATTCACATATGACCAATTTAAACCTCATGATACTTTATTAATTTAATGTAAACCATACAAGCCTTCCAAGATTTCAACGGCATCAACAACCAAGTCTAACACATGGTACTAAAATTAAACTTTATCCCAAAGAAGTATGTAGAAAAGCTGTTGAAAGATTGTGAGAAGGGTTTAGGAAATGGTGCATTAGGTTGGAGAAAGGATGTAAAAAATATGTATAACGGGTCTAGAAAGGGTGAAAAAATGGGGTGGAAAAGGTATAGAATATGGTTAGAAAGGTGTGAAAATGGTGTAGGAAGGATATAAAAATATTGTAAGAAGGATGTAAGAAGTGTGTAGGAAAGTCATTGAAAGGTTTTAACAAGGATGTGGGAAGAGTGTAAGAATGGTGTATTAAGTCATAGAAAGAATGTAGAGAGTAAAAATGATATAGAAAAGTGTAGAAAGCATGTAGAAATGGTATAAAAAAAGTGTAGGAAAGTTGTAGGAATGGGGGTAGGAAGAGTGTAAGAAGGTTATACAAAGAATATAAGAAGGGTATAGAATAGGTGTAGCAAAAGTATAAGAAGAGTATAGCCATGGTAGAAGAAAGGTGTACAAAAGATGTAGAAAATGTGTAGGACAGGATAAAAGTGGTGTGTGAATGACATACAAAGAGTGTATAGATGGTGTATGAATGGTGTATAAATGTTGTAGGAAGGGTATAAGAAGTGTGTAGGAAAGTTGTAAGAAGGATGTGAAAAGAGTGTAAGAAATATGTATTAAATTGTACAAAGGGTGAAGGAAAGTTGTAGGAATGATGTAAGAAGAGTGTAAGAATAATGTTAGAAGGGTATAAAATAGATGTTAGAAGGGTATAAAATAGATGTTAGAAGGGTATAAAATAAATGTAAGAAGGGTGTGAGAAGAGTGTAGCAAGGGTAGAAGAAAGTTGCACAAAAAAGTGTATAAAGTGTGTAAAAATAGGGTAAAAGATGCGTAAGAAGTGTGTAGGAAGGCGGTTAGAAGGTTGTAAAAATGTTGTGGAACCTTATTACACTCTTCTTACACCATTCCTTCAACTTTCCTCTATCTTTCACACACTCTTCCTAAACTCTTTCTACAAAATTTCTACCCCATTTCTATACCCCATCTACAACCTAACACACCTTTCCTACACTTTCTTCCCACATTTTTTTTGCAACCTTCCAAAAATCTTTTTACACACTTCATACATCATTCCTACAATATTTTTACACCCTTCTTAGACTTTTCTACATAATTCCTTCACCATTTATACACCTCTTTTATCCTTTTTCTACACTCTTTCTACACATTTCTTCTACCCTTACTACATTCTTTTTACACCCTTCCTACACCTATTATATACCCTTTTGACATCCTTCTAAAAACCTTGTTAGACTCTTCCTACACAATTATACTCCTTTCTACAACTTTCCTATATCTTTTCTACATCTCATCTACAACATAATACACATTTCTTACACTCTTTCCTCATCCTTCTTAGAACCTTCCAACAACCTTTCTACACACTTCTTACACCCTTTCTATACCTTTTATACACCCATTTTACTTCCTTCCTAAACTCTTTCTACACCCTTTGTACACATTTCCTCCATTCTTGCTACACTCTTCTTACATACTTCCTACACCTATTCTATACTCTTCTTACAACTTTCTTACATTTTTCTTACATTATTTCTACTCCCTTTCTAAAACTTTCCTACACTATTTCTACAACATTTCTACGTTTTTTCTACACTCTTTCTACACCCTTTCTAAAACTTTATACACCCATCCTACATTCTTCTTACAACCTTTCAACAACCTTCATACACACTTCCTACAATACTTTTATACCCTTCTTAGACCTTTCTACATCATTCCTTCACCCTTTATGCATCTATTTTACCTCTTTTCTACAATCTTTGTACACTTTTCTTCTACCCTTTCTACACTATTCTTACATTATTCCTACACCTATTTTATACCCTTTTGACATCCTTCTTACAACCTTGTTGCACTCTTCTTACACCATTCACACTACCTTATACAACTTTCTTATATATGTTTTACACCTTTTTTACACCTCATCTTCAACCTAATACACCCTTTCTACCTACACTCTTTACTAATCCTTCCAACAACCTTCCAACAACCTTTCTACACCCTTTATACAACATTTAAAAACCCTTCCTACACTCTTTATACACCCCTTTGACCTCCTTCCGACACTCCTTTTACTCTATTTGTTCACATTTTCTCTACCCTCACTACACTCTTCTTACATTCTTCTTACACTTATTTTATATTCTTTTTAAATCCTTCTTGCAATCTTCTTACACTCTTCTTACATAATTTTTACTCTTTTCCTCTAACTTTTCTATTCTCTTTCTACAATCTTTTCTACACTCTCTTTACACACTTTATACACCCTTTCTACAACCTAATACAACCTTCCTACACTCCTCTTACATCTTTCTTACAATCTTCCTACACACTTTTTACACCCTCCTACAATATTTTTATTTCCTTTCGACACCCTTTCTACATCTTTTATATACCCTTTTTACCGCCTTCCTACCCTATTTCTACACTCTTTGTATATTTTTCCTCTACCCTTGCTACAATCTTTTTACACTCCTCCTACACCTATTTTATATCCTTCTTACAACCTTCTTACACTCTCTTTACAACCTTCTTATACTCTCCTTACACCATTCCTACTCCTTACTACAACTTTCTTACATCCTTTCTATACCCTTTCTACATCCTTTCTACATTATTTTTATACTCTTTCTATACAATTTCTACACTCTTTCTATATACTAAAATTGCAAAAACACAAATGAATTTCTTTCCATCTCTATATCAAAATCAATCTTACATGTGAACCTCCTTCCCCTTAAATCTCCATGAATATTAACTTTTCTTTAACTTCCTTTTCATCTTATGTTTACAATTTCTTCAAATGTTTATAGGTCAATAAATTAACTTATGGTTGTAGGTTTAGGCTAATTTTCAGTTTTCAAATATGATAACAATAATGATAATTGGAAGAAAGTGAGTAAGTTTGACTGATTTAAAAAATGAAGAGATTAAATTAAATATTTTTTTAAAATAAATAATAGAATAATTTGATATACTTCACAGTTGCATAGTAGCTCTCGGAACCTTATCACAACTGTGGTGTGGTGCAAGTATGTGATACAATACAATGCAAAAGCTCTATGCAATGTCTCTCAGAAGCAGCGGTTTCTTTTGGTTCCAAATAAATTGCTCCGATTCGAAGCAAGGTGGTCGTGGTTTTGGAGAAAACTCCAACAGGATTAAGGTTAGGCTGCGTCTTCTTCTTCTCCATTTCCATTTCTTTTTAAGCTCTCATTTCTATTGATTGTTCTTTTATTTCTATCCCAGACCAACAAATCTGACAAGGGTCTCGTGTCGCAGCAAAGGTATGATGATGATGCATCATTTCATGGTTATATACGTATTTACAATTCACAGATTATGTCATTGTTATGCCATGCCATTACATGTGTGTCTGTCTTTTGTTGCAGTGTCAAGGGACCAGCACCTAAACAGTCTCGCTCTCTTTCTTCTCGTAAGTGCAATTCAATAGCATCTCTTCCCTTCTGCTACCCCTTTTTTGCCTTTCATTTTATTTTATATGATAATATGGTATTGGCAGAGGCGCCCCGTTTAAGTTCACAACTTGACGGCAAATCTAGGAACGATTTTTTGGATGTTGACTTTGAGGAACGCCTAAAAACAGTTAGAAGGTGCACCTTACTCTTACACCTATTTCACTCTTTGTAATTATGACCAACAATGCTCAGTTACTCTTTCTCCACACTACGCAGGTCAGCACTTGAGCAGAAGAAGGCAGAGGAGCAAAAGGAGTTTGGAGCAATTGACTATGATGCACCAGTTTCTTCCGACGAAAAGACAATTAGCCTTCCTACTAAGGTACCATTGTTGCTTCCTACCACATAAAACCATGTTTTCTTTTAGATATCAAAACTCTGTACATGTATGTAACTGTCATGATACAGATTGGAGTGGGGGTAGCTGTTGTAGTCTTCGGTCTGGTTTTTGCTTTTGGAGATTTTCTTCCATCGGGAAGGTATGCATGCTCTTAAACCAGATAATTAATTATTGGAACAGCCTATTTTTGCATCTCGGTCTTTTGCTGCACAGTTATTCGTATTTTATCTGATTTTTTTTGTTTGTTACCAGTTAAATTAACTTCTCAAGCGTGTTACAAAAATAATATTGGTAAATAATCTTTAAATTGGGGTAGATTGATTTTTAGCATTGTTAACTTTAAAGCCTTGCTTGAAAAGAGCGCTAATTAGGTTTTCTCTTTTGATTGGGATTGAATGAATTTTATGCTCAACCTATTGTTTTATGAGAAAGGTGATACCTTAGGACTAACATCTAAATCATTTATAAGCTTAATTAGCGTGCTTTTACAAATAAACTGGGACAAGACGTTACTAGGCAGACTTATCAACTTCCATCAAATCCTCCATCAGACCTATATAGCTCAAGATATTCATCATCTTGAATTGTAAACTATGTCATGCTCGGCGCTGCTTGTAATTATGGATGTTATTCATATATTTCCTCATCATGTTCATTATTTGCCATGTAGTTTTGGTTACAGTTTAAATTGGGATATCTTTCAGTGTTAGTCCTACGGATGAAAGTGCTGTTGTCAATAGTAAGTTGTCCGAGGAGGAGAAAGCTACTCTCCAGGTATGATTTCCACCCAATTATTGTTATCTTCTAGCAATTGGTCAGGCACTGATGTCCTTCCTAATTATTTGTCTTATACTCTTATTTCCTTTCCTTGTGAAGCCAAAGTTCACTGAATTAAGATTGTTTCTTTCCACGAACTGATGGAAAAGTGAAGGTTTGGTGGATTAAAGTTTGGTATTGTTGGTTGTGTTTTTTTTTCAACATTATTTACCGGTAGTGGACTAACATCAGGCAAGATAAAAATAAATATAGTTAGCTTTGATATGACAGATCAGTATTTTTCTATCAGATGGTAAAGCCTTCCATGGACACTTACCAAATACAAAGAAGTAATGTGTAGACAAGGAGATTTTATAATAATTGACCAACAGGAATTTAAATTTGCTTAATTCTCTTAGTAATTATGGACAGAGATTCTACCAAAAGGCTAGTTGATTTTCGTTTTGGGACCTGCAAATTGTAACAATTGAACAACTTATGCTATAAATACAGGTGCACACACAGCAAAGAAACTTTATAACTATTTTTGAAGATTATGAACAATTCGGATTATGTAATCAAGTTGATAGTACTTACTGTGATTTGTTCTGTTTAAGAATTACCTCATCAGATAATTTTTTCAGAATCCTATTTTTCCCTTAGATACCAGTACCACTCTTGGAGTAACTAAGGTGTGTCTACGGAAGTACCGACATATTCTGTTATTTCTGACACCTATCATCTGGGCCTGTCATTAGTTTGCTTTGTTTGGTCTGATTCCATCTGATTCTGAGATAAATTTTTAGTGACACAGGAGTAATATACTCCTTCCATTAGGGCGTATCGATATTCATTATGTATAAACAAAGTTACCACGTTACCCTTTCCTGTGTTATGTAATCCTTCAAATATCATCTCTATACATTCTGAGAAAACCACAGAATCATTTATGGTATACTTTGTGATATATGGCAGAGTAGGCTCAAGGAATTTGAAGCAACATTAAGTATTTCCCCGAGAGATCCAACTGCTCTTGAAGTAAGTTTTGGATGCTAGTTCTGTTCTTCTGATTTCTGTCTTTTTAGATACATTTTGAATGACTTCCAGGGAGCTGCAGTAACTTTGGCTGAACTAGGGGAATATGCAAGATCTGCTTCTCTACTTGATGATTTGACGAAGGTATTGTGTTGAGCATGGATATCCCCTGGAATTTTCCAGTTACATGTGTTGGAAAGTATCTCTACGAGGGAAATTATAGCTATATATTTATTAGACACAGAATTTCTCTTTCCAAAATATGTTGTGAAAATCATGCTAATTGACCTTAGATTACCGTTGAGAAATTTTTTTGGTGCTATTCCAAGGTAAAACCAAGTGATGCTGATGTTTTTCGTTTGCTTGGAGAAGTTAAATACGGACTCAAGGATTATGAAGGGAGTGTTGCTGCATATAAAAGTTCAGCAAAGGTCAGTAGTATTTTCAACCTTTTTTTTTGGAGTAATGTCATAAAACCATCAGCAACTAGATGATTGTTTTAGGACTTGGGATAAATTATATTTTCTGCTCTTGTAAAATATTTTTTGCACTTTACTTCCCATAGTATGTGCTTAAGTTTTTTATGCTAAAGTTTTTAATGAAAGCAATATATCTGTTAATCTGAAATCTAGTGAAGAAGAGGCTATGTCTACAAATTATAATCGATCAAATGTAGCAAGCTTAGTAATTCCATCAAACATTATCCATAAAATTTGGTTGATCTCTGACAGGTGTCCAAAGATATCCAACTTGAAGTTCTCCGTGGCCTTACCAATTCATTACTCGCTGCCAAAAAGCCGGAGGAGGTTTGTCGTCATGATAAAGGATTTTCAGGATAAATATGCACAAATTAATTCTATTATTTTGCTTGATGATGGTTAATTTCCACACGTCTTTCTAAAAGTACAATCAAGTACACCTTTTTATGATGGTTTTCACGATGATTACTCTGTCCAAAGACGATAACTAATTGGAAAATTTCTATAGTACTGGAAGAAAAGTTTTTCTTTTCCTGATTCTTATGATCCACGATTTGCAGATAAACGTTTATTTGTTTACTACAGTTTTCTTATCTAACCTTAGGCTTTGGTGTATAATGCTCCAATTTCATGATATGACCATTCTGGTTCAAAAGCTTATGGTTCCTTAGGTTTGTGGAAACGTTTTTTACATTTGTTTTCCACTAGTAATTACAAATAAGCCACTTTATTTTCATTTTGTTTCTTCTCTTCAAAGATTTATGCACTCAAATAGTCAAAACCCACATTTTTTTTTCATTTTTGTATTTCATAATAATCACAAAATTGCTACCCTTTTTCATTTTGACGAGACAATTCAATCCATCTGTCCACTAATAATCCTATCTATCCATATAGAATCCGATCAATCCATCCAATTATAAAAATAAATATTAATGGATTGAATCAACACTTTTGTTGGTTTGATTGAGTCATCCAATATATTTTTGTCATCCGTTGGGTTAAGTAGTCTAAAAGTTCATTGGTTGAGCATGGTTTTTTATGGGACCGGTCTTTTGGACCATACTATGTTTGGGTACAAGAATGTACGTAAGTATTGTACGAATAAAATATAATATGCTTTTAAATGAATCGTTTGGATAGTTATCCCAAGAAATAGTTGATGGGGGATTAGATGGTCTTTTATTAAATGACTCATGGATGGATTGAATTTTTCTTGATATTTGTTTAAGGGGTCATAAATGGATTAATGGTTTACTTTTAACTCGTTATAATTCACTAAAAAAATTTAGAGTCCATTTTTTTACACCCCTATTTCATTTTGTTTCTTCTCTTTAAAGATTTGTACATGAATATTGATTTTCCCATTTTCTGAACATACCTTTGGAAAAATAAAACATAAAATGGAAACAAAAAGTAATTCCTTAAACCTATTGGAGTTCAAGTATAAGTTGGAGTCCCAAATTGTAAATAAATAGACAAACTTAGTAATATATATATAAGAAGAACCTATATTTTAGGGTTTTGGATTAAAGGTAGTGTTATCTTGTATTCTCTTCCTTTGATTTCCCAACAAAATCAAATAATATATTGTACATAAGTATAAGTATGGGGTTTTTCTTTTGGACTCCCAGTGGTACTATGCATGTTGAATTAACATTCTATTTTTCCATTCTTTCTTCAACAGGCTGTTCAATTACTTTTGACTTATCGTAAGGATTTGAGTTCCGAAAACTTAAGCAAAAGTTCTAATAGCAACCCATCAGACTCACAGAAGCTGGACCCTGTCCAAGTAAATTCACAATTCTAACTTGAGATTTTTATTTCCTCATTTCCATTTCTGTATAGATTTATTTCAGATTTTATTTTTCTTATTTAGGGTGGTGAATCGGTATTTTTTTTTTTGCCTGCAACTACTGGGTTAGAATGAATTAGTCAGCTGAATTTTCATCATATCCCTGTGTACTAAATAATCAGAGAATAATATTCAGTTATCTACTTATTTCAAAGTTGGTATCCTACGTATTAGCGCTGCCCAACCTGGAAGGTTATGAACACGAAGCCAATTATTGTGTGGTGGCATTTTAGTATGCCTCCACTGTAGAACAACACCTTCACAATGCTCATTTTGGTAAACCCTAGGCTGGCTCATGTTGTTATTCCCGTCTGCGGACTTGCCATCAACCAGCAGCTGCTGTCGGCAAAGACAGCACTGTCACCAAGCTCATGAAGAATAAGAGTAATAACCTAGAAACAGGATTTTACATTTTAGGGTACTTTTTTTTAAAATATCACAGGAATGGATAGATTTCAAATAAGTTTAGGGGTATGAATAAACTGTTTTAAAAAACACAACTTCTATTTTTTTAAAAACAAAAACAGTTGAAATTTTCTTTTAAAGCACGATTTCAATAATTATTTTTAAGCTAAAATCATATTTTAAAACTTGATTGACCTATATCTGTAATTTATTTAAAATACACCCATTTCCATATTTTTCTTAAAAATACTACCCTTGAAAGGCACGAAAAGTCATTTCTTAATAGTGGTGAAATGGTGTACCTTTCGCAAGCAGGAAAAATTCGTTAGTTTCATCTTAATCTTTTTATTTTATTTTAGGATTTACTGAGATGTAGCATTCTGAAAGTACATTTCACATACTTCATTTTTTTTTGTTTCTTATGCATATATTTTTTCTAAAATTCCTACATTTCTCAGGTTGAATTACTTCTAGGGAAAGCCTACTCAGATTGGGGCCATGTCAGTGATGCTGTAGCTGTTTATGATCAACTCATATCCACTTACCCTAATGATTTTCGTGGATACTTAGCTAAGGTCTGTATTTTTCATCTCATTTAATCACTAAATGCTCTTTTTTTCCCTTTATAAATCTAATTAAAGAAAATAATCATTGCAGCAAATTTATATGGTAGAATAAGTTATTATTTACAGAACTTTGCTTTAGTTCTTTTCTGTCCATTTGGTTTTTTCCAAGGTTGTGTGCTATAATTATAGAAATAAGGATGTGTTATTAGAATATTAGAAACTTTTTTTACTTATTCCTGTTTCATATTTTTGTTATTAGAAGATATCATATCTCATTTATTTATTGTATTAATTTCTTTTCCTTTGTATAATTTAACATGGTATCTAAAGCCTTTTTCAAAACTTGTGTTGGCCCGATAGACCCACTGTATTGCCCAATTAGTCCTTTTGGCACGACCATGAGTTGTAAGAAATACTAGTTCCACCAAAGTGATGTGGAAATACAGTTCGATTGAATACACAACTAAGCTTAATACATATAAACTATTAGTTTAAAACATTTTCATAGGCATAGAATAAGAATTCACCCTATGTACAAATCATATGCATAAGAACAAATTTCACTAATAGTGCCAATAAATTAAAGTCGAAAGCGAAATAGACTAATTCGTTTTGAGTATGTCTTGATACAATTCTATATTCAACTTTTCATAAATGACTTGTGTTAGATATCTTTAATCAATCGCTTTCTCTGCCAAAGGACATGTAGTGGAAGGAGCTATTCACTCAAAGTATGTCTTGTAATTTTTTACAGGGAATCATCCTAAAAGAAAACAAAAATATCGGTGATGCTGAAAGAATGTTCATACAAGTAAGTTTATGAGTTGAACTTTCATAATTGAGTAGGCGAATAAAATGTAAAAATAACATTTATATAAACTAAAATTTTCTTTTTCTGCACTATTATAACTTTTTTTGTGCAGGCTAGGTTCTTTGCACCAGATAAAGCCAAAGCACTTGTGGACCGTTATTCAAGATGAAAATTTTTATGGATGTTAATGGTAAAGGTATGCTCTGTAAGAAAATATGAAGCAAAGGATGAAATATGTAAATAAGGAAAAATTCCAATGATATCTGTAGTGTGTCAAAGAAGTTGTGATCAGTAGAGAAATACACAAAATAGCATATAGAATATTTGAAATTTTAAATGTTTTTGTCCCTTTCTTCTGGCCATGTTCCTTGATTCTTCAAAATCTAACTTTGATTGTGGCCTCCCCACAGTTTCTGTTCTAGCGTTGTCTCCTTTAACATTTGCTGCTTTGCTACCCAGATACAAGCTAATGATTATAACAACGGCAGATCTTCGATTTCAGATTTTGTTATACCACATTGGTATAACAAAGTTCCTATAAACCATTTGAAGGAGGAGAATAAGAGAATACAATTTAATCAACAAAACACTAGAAATAAAGGCCACTCGAAATGCAATACATGTATAAGTACTTTCTAATGAAAACCACCTTAACTTATATTTAACATTGTGCAACAATTCTTAAGAAACAACATAAAAAGTCTTCCGCCGTATAAGAAAATAAGCACAAGTGAAACATTAATTGTTTCCGAATTATTTAATTACCATGAATTTGTCTTTAATTTAAGGAAGATAATCTTTTGTCACCCATTATTTTAAAACAACCCCTCACAACCATGTAATTAGTGTAATATGGTAATTAAAAATAATAATTTCTTAATTGTAAAAAAAAAATGAGAAGGAAGGCCATAATACTAAGTGTCAATTGACTGTATATCTTTAGTAAATAGGTGTCAATCTAGAGAAATCATAAAAAAACATACACAAAAGCTTTCCACAACTAGATTGTACTTTAGATCCTACATTAGTTAATAGGCGGTTTCGTTAATCTACATTAAAAATTGGATAATCAATTTGTCATTTCTAGAAATAGTAAATAAAACCATAGTTAGGAATAAATTAAGGAGGCAGATGCATGGCGTGAACAGAAGCTGTCTTGTCTTCCATCCATCTTGCTTAATTTGAAGCTTTAAGTTTGAAGCAGTTAAGGAGGGAAAGTTTCTTCGGCAAAGAAACTCTTCTTCTTCCCTCTCTTCTCCCCGGTCGATCACTCCCAACCACCACCGGAGGAGACCGGAGGAGATTGAATGAGCACCGGAAATGAAACTCTCAAGAAGCTTTTCGATATGCACCCCAAAAATCATTAAGAAAATCCCAAACCATCTGAAATCATCGATACCCAGATCCACAAGCTGGCATATTCAACCTCTTTCCAAGAAGCCATTGCTGGGTTCAGGAGTCTCCTCCGACGGCGGCGCAAGGAATGCCAAGGTTCCCAAAGGCTCCCTCGCCGTCTATGTGGGCCCCCACTTCCGACGCTTCGTCATTCCGGTACGCTTCTTGGCCATGCCTGACTTCGCTGCCTTGATGGAATCCGTCGCCGAAGAATATGGCTGCGATCATCACGGCGCCATTCACATCCCCTGCGATGAAGACCATTTTCAGCAAATTTTGATCTCATGTTCCCAACGAAAACGGACCTTCCTTCCTCCCAAGAAACTTTCCGTCATCCCAATCATAAGCAGCCATTGATTCATTCCTTCCTTCCATCGCATTCATCTTAATCATTCACACACACACACACTCCTGATAACAATCACAACAACAACGTATAATACATGTATATACTTTTATATACGTATGTAATATTTTCGTTCACTGCAATGTGTACGGAAAAATCACAAATCTGCATGCCCTTCGATTTTTTCATTGGAAGGGAGCGCAGGTGTTGGATCAAGCATGAGGGGTACAAAACCTAATTAATGTTTGTTTTCAATCCTACTTCTTTTCATTTGGGAATCCTTGCCAGTTTATCAGGAAATATCTCTATGGCAATCAAGATCACAGAATATGTATTTCACATTTTATAATTTTGCACACTGACATCTATCTACATACATTCATGTACATATGTCATAGTCCTCAATTCATTGTTAAGAAATAGATAGGAAGACATCAACGAGGATACTGTGTTCCTGGATTTATGTATATGTTATCAAAATTATTAATAGGGAAGCATAACCAATACATGCATTTAATCAAAACTAAGCAGCACTTTGCACTACTTTATAATGAATTAGAACTAATGCATGCATGTTGATAATCTCAAAAGGATAGAAGCAGTCTATTACGATCACTGTCAATATTACAGAATTAATATATCTATGTACAAGTTTGAGGATGATGAGGGGGAGTAACTTCACAATCTGATTCGTGAAAACTAGTGTTGTCCTTGTCTCCATGGAAGCCAGAGTGATGCAGCAAAGGTTGTTTGTTGTTGTTGTTGTTGTCCTCCACGGTCTTGAGTATTTTCTGGAAGACTGATACATGGCATGGGATTTTGAGCACACCCTCTTGCTGGAAACCAAATTCATCTTGGGCTTCTTGGAGCAAAATCTCAAAAGCTTGGTGTCTCAGGTAATGGGTGGGAATGATGAATCTCTTGAGCTCTGTTCCAACACAGACAGCGAGGAAGCCTTTTGGAACCATGTCTGCACTGTTGGAAGCAGAGGAAGATGTTGCAGCTTTCTTCCACTTCTTGAGGATCTGTTGAAGCCTAACCACCTCACGGATCTTGTTACACTTCTTTGAATTTGAATCCATCATATATGTGCATTCAAAGTGAAGAGTGATGATGAGTTCTGTACAGAGGTACAATTTATAATCAAACTCAGCCTCAGATGCCAACTGCTATATCAAAATTTAATTCATGCAAACACCATATTTTATTCCTACTGCCAATAATTTTTTCTGCACAGTACAGATAATCATTGAGATTAGAGATCAGCTGCAGGTGTAAGAATCAGATCCATAAATGTTCATTTTGTTTGAATCGGTTTTGTTGCTTGCATTTAAAAAATATCTCAGTATTACACATAGTGTTAGTAATTAGAAACTCACATACTTCAAATGCACCTCAAATAACATGTTTTTTAGTTTTCCAAGCATCTGTTTTAACTTTGCAAAATAATCTGTACAGAAAAATCTAAAGCTATTTTAATTTAATAGCTTCTTTAAAACATATCAGAAATTAATATGTACAAGATGACATGTATATAACTCTCAATCAATGTTAACTAGCTATTTTTGTTTGAGTTTAGATAACTATTTAATGGCAACTTGAACATATGATTGTTGCTTTGCTTTGTTGGATGCTTAGAAGATCGTGGAAGATGGTACTCTGTGATTTGCATGTGACTCGCCTATTTGTTTATGAAACAGACACTTAAGCCAGCAGGTTGAAATGATCTTATTAATAAAAAAACGAAATACAAACATAGATAGATATTGTGAATATTTGTTAAGAATTTTGAGAAGCTTTTCAAATTCAAAGGTATTCCAATTTCATGATCATCAAGAGAGAAAATAATAATGAATAGATTTTTATCAACGTATAGCAAGCCAAAGAAAAAAAAAATCCATAGAATTTAACATTATCTTTAATTAAAAATCTTAATTAGGATATACTCAAAGTTTTTTTTCTCCACTTGTATATTTTTTAACTTGTTTATTTCTGGATAATATAAAACTTTCACTCAAGAAAGTACATTTACAGGTCACTAAAATCATGCAACCATTTAAAATATTAACTTAGTTACTCTACAATTATCATTATACTACTTAATTATCAAGTATTAATTCCCTGAAAATAAACTAAATCGTGTTATTAAACTCTCAATTTGTTCCATTAAATGGTCACCTTTAACGAAATTCTAATATTATTGATCTCAATTGGTGTTAGTAAATCACCTTCTTACAATTTATCAATAATTAAAAAGCGTTTATGTTAATTCACTTAATTATCCAATTCTTAATTCTTTGAATAAATAAACTTGAATCCACTTATTGAACTCAATTTCCTGCATAATCCAATCAAATCCTAATATTAATTGAAGTGTTTTATATGTTTAAGCTCACACAAAAAGCATCTGAATGAATATTTTATTGAGCATTTTAGTTTATGAACACGTGTCACTTTGTTATTACGTATAATAGTTTACATCTTATACTATTGACATGTTGATATATCTTTAATAATTGATAAAAATAAAAAGTTAACGATACATATATACTACAATACAGTGTCAACTAAACTTCACTGCAAAAAACATATTGAAAAATGCATACAAGAAATTTGAAAGAGTAAGACAAAAAGGAACTGAGTTTTTGAGAAGAGGTGTTCACTCATATGTCCCAAAGGCCAAAACTTTTTAAACATTTAAAAATCTATACATCACTCTAAAGTCTGAACAAAAATCATAACAAAATTGTTTTTAAAATAAAAGTTAAATTTGTCTGAATATTGTAGAATATTCAGTGAATATTTTTTAACTGAGACAATATTTTATAAAATATGATGAACTTCTTGTTATTTGATATGTTACTTTTGTTTATTTAACACATTTGATAGTTTCTAAAACAAATTAATATTCTCAGGATTGTAACAGTACACTCAAATATTAATATCTATTATTATTCAGTAAAATAATTTGTGAGTTTATTATTTATAATATTTTATATATTGAATTGAAAACATTATATTTCTAACTTAACCTAATTAACTTTTAGCGAATTGTATTAAAATAGATATGATTAAAGATGAATTATATTATCTTGACTCCCTATTCCCAAGACACCAACCTTATATTGATTGGTGCAATTGCGATAACCATTCTTCAGTTCGTTGAATGAAGGCAACAAATAAATAAATAAATAAACAAGCAAATAAATAAATAAATAAATAAATTCTCAATAAAATAAAGAAATAAAGTTATCCTTCTAAAATCGCACTAACCTACGATTAACACGTTGACGTGGCAGCAGATACGATGAGATTGCTGTTATTGTTATGACTGCACTCTACTTTTACAATCAAACCTCTAATCCTGTCACCAAACACTTTTTAATCATATTTTCTCAATTAAAACCTTATAAACGTGCAAACCCTTTATTTATTTTTATATGACGACACATACTTTTTTGAAATAAAATAAAAATTATGATGGAAAATATAGAAATTTATGTATTATATTAATGCATCTTTCTAGATATTCTTTGAGATACATTTTAGAAGAATTTTTTGGTTAGTTCTATTAAATAGTTAATTTTTGTTATATTAGGAAATGGTTGGAATATTTATGTTTTATTTGAATGAAGGGTGAAATTAAGAATTAATGGTAATATGGTGTGTCGATAATATTGTTTAAGAAAATTAAAAAAAAAGTGATGTTGTTTGTCCCTTGTGACGTAAGAGAGAATGATAGAATATAAAAAATGTCACAATTAAGAGTTGTAATTACGTGGGAAAAGGGCGTGTAAGCAATAAAATGGTATAAAAAGGATTAAATTTTAATATTTAATTGCAAATGGGTGAACGATAAAGAAAGCGACATTTTGATGCGAAAATACGAGTCCGCATTTCATCCAAAGCGAGAGCGATAAGCCGGCGAGATTGCGAGATTGCGAGATCGCGAGATCATCTCTTTCTATAAATACTCGTCCTCATCTCTCTGCAGAGTGACAGACAGGAGGAGGAAGAAGAAGAAGAAACCCTAAGGAAGCAGAACCTGTTGTGTTCAGAGAAGTCAAAAACAACGAAACAGAACACAACAACAACGTTAACACAACACAACACAACAACTTAAACACACCACACAACAAAATGTCTTCCTCCAAAACTAATTCTCACACTAAACCTCAACCTCAGGCATGTCTTTTTCTTCGCGTTAATATCTTCGATTGCCTGCGTTGCAAAACGATTTTTTGTTAATATCTTTTGTTCTGTTTTTTCCATTCCTTTAGGAAGGGAACATGGCATTGCAAACCCATTCTCCGTCTCACGCGCACAACAGTAACAAGCATGGGCACGGAGTCTTTGGAGACGTCTACACCATCACCAAGGACATGCACGCCGATCATCACAACCCTTCCTTTGATTTTCAATTTCGCCTTCCCCCGCTTCCGGTTACCTTCCCTTCCTCTTTCTGTTCTCCCTTTCATTGTGCCCACCTTCTGTTTGTTTTATATTTTTTTTATCTTTTTACTGTTTCCCCTTTTCAGAATTTTCTGGGCTCTAGAGAGGCCCGCGAGTTTTTCAGCGGTGCCCTTGCAGGGGCAATGACAAAGGCGATACTTGCTCCTCTTGAGACCATTAGGTTCGTCCTTTTTGTTTTACTTTTTTTTTTCTTCGCAAATCCGGCTATCTGTTTGCAATTCCTACCTGGCTACCTAGCCGGGCTGATACAGTGGTATTCGTTTGTAGTGATCTGTAAACTATGCATGCAGGACAAGAATGGTTGTTGGTGTTGGATCGAAAAATATTGCCGGCAGTTTCGTAGAGGTTATACAGCAGCAGGGATGGCAAGGATTGTGGGCTGGAAACATGATCAATATGCTTCGTATAGTTCCAACACAGGCTATTGAGCTGGCCACATTTGAGTGCGTCAAACGGACTATGACATCCCTGCAAAACAAATGGGAAGAGGATGGCCACCCCAAGTTGCAGATAGGTTGCATCGATTTCAACCTGCCCATGTCTTGGATTTCACCAGTTGCTGTCGCTGGTGCCGCAGCAGGAATTGCTAGCACAATTGTATGCCATCCCCTTGAAGTTTTGAAGGTATGTTACGGAAAAAAGGAAGTAATTAATCACATCACGATATATGTCTAATTGGATGGACTATGTGTATTTGTTTTGTACTGCGACATCACCATAATTAGGAATCACGCTTCAATCCAAATTATATATGCTTTTGTTCTGTTTAATAATGACCATGGCTTGAAAATTTGAACTCTTTCTTTTTTTCTTGTCTCTTAATCTTGTTTAAAATTGCAATTGTCTTCTGATTTTATAACAGGACCGGCTAACCGTTAGTCCTGAAATCTACCCTACTTTAGGTATTGCGATAAGAAATATTTATAAAGATGGTGGTGTTGGCGCTTTTTATGCTGGTATCTCACCGACACTAGTTGGCATGCTTCCATACAGTACATGCTATTATTTCTTGTATGATACCATGAAGGATTCTTACTGCCAGTCCAAAAATAAGAAAACTCTAAATCGTCCAGAGATGCTTGTGCTTGGAGCTCTAGCAGGTTAGAGAATCTCTAGTATTTAATTATTTATGTTCTCCTTTCTTGTTCTTGGTCTTGCCCTGTTTCGAAATCACACCCATGTTACATGAAGCAAAGGAGACACCATGGAATATGTTATGCAAAAGTAGTCATTCAAAATTTGATTTATTTTTTGTTTTCTTATTGAGAAAGGGTGTGAGTGTGTTTCAAGGTTTTATAGATTTAATTGGATGTGTTGATTTTCCCGGCATTTATGTTTGCCAGTGTCAGTTAAGCTGTGTTTGATAGAGGGAGATGAAATAGGTTGGTGAGAAAATAGGTATGAAATAGAGTGAAAGAAATATCGTTTGGTTGGGAAAATAGAGTAACAATGTGATTAAGCTCAAATTAACCATAATAAATATTTATCATTGATTTTGTTATAAAAGCATAAGCACCAGATTTGTTGTGAAATATATCAGTGATCAATTACATTATAATATATATAATCGGTTTAGTTATTCTTGCTTGTCTCTTACAAGCAAAGATTTTTGCAATGAAATAAAACTGTGCGAACCCACACTTCTTTATCTCTTAACTCAGGATTCCACTCTGCCGAACTCCTGTTTTCCTCTATTTCTTCGCCCTTCCAAGTTTTTGTCTTTGATTTCACTGTTATCAAATCAAAATGCCCTCTTAGTCCCGTTATTATGGTGTACCAAGCTAACTCTGTCTCACATGTTGGTCCTGAACATTTTGTACTTGTTAGTTAGTATTAAAGATTTGTGTTATCTGACTTGTTTGTGATCACCCAGGTTTTACTGCCAGTACAATTAGCTTCCCATTGGAGGTGGCCAGGAAGCGGCTGATGGTGGGCGCTTTGCAAGGTAAGTGCCCACCAAACATGGCAGCAGCACTTACGGAAGTAATTAGAGAAGAAGGTCTGAAGGGTTTGTACAGAGGATGGGGTGCAAGCTGTTTAAAGGTGATGCCATCATCTGGTATCACCTGGATGTTTTATGAAGCATGGAAAGACATATTGCTTGTCCAGAATGGAAACCCATTTTAGGTTTGTAGTTCTAAAAATTCTCTGTAAGAACGGTATAACCATGGTGGGTAAGGAAAACAAATTATTGGGAAAGTTATTAAGCTAGCTCGTTGGAATGGTCGCATGTACTAACGAATGAGTCGCCTAGCTTGTAGGTTTCCAGATTTTGATATTGATTTGGCAAAGATTCTTATCGAAGAATAAGGTTAAAGAATGTCGGGAGAAGTTTCCTATGTTCATCGTTTCTTTCCATCCCAATCACAATCACAACGTTTCTCTCCATCCCAATCACAATCACAACGTTCATTTGTCACCGAATTGTTTCGCTTGACTTCAGTGGGCATTAGATTCGCATTATTAAATATTTAACTGTATTACAGCATCTTCAATACAGTCTTATATGCAAAATTGTAAGTTTAAGATCTCCATTTTATAGCACGACCATAAATTTCAAATTTAAGGTGTTTTAAAACAAGATCTTAGATTATTATAAAAAAAGTTTTTTTTTATATGAAACCAATTATTGTATTAGAGATAGTGAAAAGAAAATTAAAATTCAATATTTTTAGGTTGAAATGTATAAATATTGTATTATATATTATTTAATGAAGTTTTATTGTAATGTTCTTAAATTGTCGAAAAGTCGATATGAAACATTAAAATGAATTAAGATTTATGTTATCATCTCTGTATTATAGATAACCTTGTTAAAATTAATAGATACTCTCTCACAAAGGCATTGATAAATGGATACGTTTAATTAATCAGTGACACTTGTATAATATAGAGATCTAGGTAATGATGAATCTAAATACAGCTTTGAGTAGGCGCTTGGTATTAACATGGAATTGGTTATATTGTTTTTATTTATGGGCCTGAAGTGGGAAAACTAATGATTTTAAAGTTAACATCATCAGATTTATACATGTAACTTGTTTGAGATAGAAATTACAAGCTAGTACAGAGAGAGTGTCTCCTTGACCTGCAGTAAGGGTTTGCACAACAACGAAAAACAAAAAAACTGGCCTAGGGAACTCAACAAGGAATTCTGAGTATGCTTGCCAATTCCAAAAGCTTGAAGGCTTGAATATGTACCTGTCTACTTGGTTTGCCTGTCTTAACTCCAGTGAAAAACTTCCAAAAATAGGTAATTTTTGTTATACTACAATTGGCTTCAATCTTGTATTATTATATGTAATTTGTGATATTAATCTGGTGTTCTTGTTACGCAAAAAGTTGCCTTGAAATAGAAGGCTTATTGACCAATTTAACAAAATCGATGAATCAAAATAACCAAAACCAGTAAATAAGACCCATAAGTTTTATATAAATTGAGCTTATATAAATTGGCAATCAAAAGAACCTACAAAAACAAAAAGGTTTAACTGAGAAGAATACTTGAAAACATAAAACCCTTTAAAACATCATTAGTTTTGTTCTAAAATTATAAAAAGATGAGTGAATATTTGAAATATTAGATGGCATGGGCATGAGAACCTAAACACAGTTTTGTACATTGCATAACAAGGAGTTGTATCAAGAAATAGCAACATGTTATAGAACATTGCTTTGAGGAGAAATTGGTGTTCTGAAAACATCTAGAGAACATATACATCGTATGTACAAGTAATTCAATTCAGTACAATACAATGCTAACCTAAATGATTAACAGAGTGATGTAGTTTCCAATGTGAAGCCCAAAAGGGGTTGTTACATGATCGTGTCTTGCTCTTCGCTGATGTCATTAGTTCTTCCGAAGAACCAGGCCACGGCGGAGCGAATTGATTGAGAGGACTCTGCTAATGTGTAAAGACAGAAGAAGCATAGCCCTGAGCAAAGAAAAGGACGGTGAGAATAGTATTATTGACAGGGACGAAGAGGGGAAGTAGAGAAGGAGTGGTTACCGGCATAGGCAACGGTGACACCAAGAGCGAATCTTCCAATTGCAGAGAAGAGATACAGGGAAAGGGTGACCTTAAGAAAGAGCCTCTTGTCGTGGCCGGTGGCGGCAACGCGGAGGACAGACTCGGCGGCGCCGACAGTGTTGGCTAACCATGCGACAACCGCATTGGCAGTGTCCTCGGAAATCTGCCACTCGAGGGGATCGACGGGAACCCTAGCAGAAAAGAAAAGAAACCCTAAACCTAAGGAAAAAAGTAATTGGGGGAAATTGAAATGAAAATGAAAAAGAGAACGGCACTGACTGTATGTTCATCTGGCGAAAGAGAAGACCGAGAATGGCGAGGGAGCAGAGAAGAACGATGAAGACGTCGGAGAGAAGAGAGAGAAGAGTAGAATTCCGATAAGCGCAGTGATAGTAAACAAGCGTCCCTATCACCAACGCTATCATCGCCTTCCCTGCTCCTTCTCCGCCCCTCCTTCTTTCATCCATAATTTTCTTTTCTTTCTTTTTCTCTTTCTCTTTCTCTTTCTTTTCAACCCGCTTCTTTTCTTTTCTTCCCATCCTATCCTTTTCTCACTCTCTTTCTCTTGTCCCTAATATAAAATATTTTAAAAATCATTTATTACAACTAATTTTATTTTTTAAATAATCTTTTTTAAGCTAAAGTTCAGAGACACATCTGAAATCAGAGCAATGGTGGATCGATTGTTTTCTTCGCCTGTTTTATCTTAGCATCCAATCATTTCAGACAAAAAAATGCATTTTTGTAGACAGTAAATTTTGTCTAAGAACCAAGAACCAAGAACAAGAACAATCAGTGACAACTATGTTTGTTGTTATATTGGGAGTTACAGCAACTTGGAAACTCAGAATTTTGACAGAACAAGAGTACGCACATACATACATTTTAGATAACAGACAGAAAACCATTCATTCTTGCTCTCTCATTGTCATCACAGATCCTAGAAGCCCATTTGATGACTTTTTGTGTTGGCAACAATCATCGATCCAAGGAGAAAGAAAGAACTAAAGTACATTGACACTGATCCGAACCTAGCAAGGGAACAAGATGGGGCATGGATCCCTCTCTAACCTACCACTTGATAAATCCAGTTTTTTCATCTTTTCTTCACACCAAAACAGTTGCTCCCTGCTCATCCTAGTCATTCTCAGAACCCTTGATACCATCTTCACGTCAACAAGCCCAAGCAAAAGCTGAATGTCCTCATGCTTTAGTGGCCAACAATTCTTCTTCCAACCTTTTTTCTTTCTTCTCAGTTCCTTCAGCTTCACTACTTTCTGCATTTAGAAGACAACTTAGTCTTACAGTAGGTAAAGCAAAATAAATAATCAATTGGATCCATATTTGGTTGCAGTATAAGAGTGATCTCTGATCAGTTAAAATTTCTGCACATACTAAAAAGTTCCTTGACCCACCACCTATATGTCTCAACCTACTTAATAAAAAAACAAAAAATAGCAAGAGTAATCCGCCTTACACTTGTATTATAAAAAGCAAGAAACAAGGAATAACCATTCTTAAACTTTAATTAGAAGGTAAAAATAGCACAAAATCATTACGCTGAAACAATGGTTGATAGATTTGCTGATAAGAATCGATATTAGCATTTTCCTACCAGAACAAGCATATTAAAGAGCCATTTGTAGCAAGCCTTGAATATCAACCACACAGCATGTCAAATAGACAAGAACTGATGGAAAAGATGGGAGGTACAGTGATAAGAATATACGGTAAACTTTGGTGACTACCAAGTCTAAAAATCTTAAAATTGGGAGGGCCAATGCCCGCCATGCCAACTAGTTGTCTCTGTGCTTCAAAAGTTTACTAGTATATTATAAAATTGCAAATTTATCACAAGGAAAGGTTCTAAACTTACCTTTTCAAGAGTTGACTGAATCTGGTGTAGAGGAGTTGCTAGCTGGTTGTGATTTCCAAACAGGTTGGTTGTACCACTAGACTTTTTCTTGTCCCTTTTCAGGAAAAGATGGAATGTAAGGATAGAGCTTTCAATTATCCTGATCAGATCAGGAGCAAGAACTCTTATCTCCGAATCATCAGTTAATTCATGATCTGAGCCTGAATAGATTCATAAAGTTGAGCACTTATAGTGACACCAATACAAGCATGAGCACAAGAGCCAGAAAATCAAAATTACATTCATTGACAAGCAACCAGCAATTTATTAATTTAATTATTATTCAGTAGTATCCATGACACTCGAATGATTTTCAAGAAATTCACCTCGTATATTAGGAACTTGAAGCAGTTTAGGCAGTTTGTTCCTAGTGCGAGCATATATTTCAGCTCTACGGCCATGCTCAAAAGGTTCATTTTCTATAAACCTTTGTAATAAAACTTGGAACTGTTGAAACTCTTGTGCACTGTGGTTGTAACAGGTAGGATTATCATGTTGCCAAGATATCTTCTGACTCATATGAGAATACTGACAATGAAGTGCCTCCCAAGTCAAGCAAATTTGACCTACATATGCTGTTTCAATATCCTGGTAGGGATCATTCTCCGGCTGTTGAAGATGTTCAGTCTCATCATCAGGTTCTTCAAATTTTTTCAAGGAAAGACAACGAAGGGGAGAAGCCAACTTTTTTGATGCAGATCTTGGAGATGGAGTTGAAGTATGCTGTGAACCTGACACAGTGAGAGGGTGCAGCATATCACAAGATCCGACAAACACAAACATAACAGAAATACTACATTTTATCAGCAATTACAATTTGCAAATGGTAAAAGGGAGGCAAAAACATGGTTTTTACCAGAGAGCTTTACATATAAAACTAGATCATGCACATTCAACCATTGAACACAATTCCCGGAACTACGATTCTATTTGGGTTTTTGCCTGGGACGATGAAAAGTAAGCTAAACTGAATCCAGACATAGCTAAATCCAAGCTTACAAAAATGGAAGCTTTTCCTTGGTTTAATATTGTTTTTTTCCCAAAAGGAACATTAAGAGTCAATTTTCATCAGTCATGCATTTTTGTCCTAATCGTGCATCATGTGACAAGTCCAGACAAAAACACCTAAACAAACGCAGAGCAGAAACAGAATTGGCATTCCCAACCACTAATACTAGCTACATATCAAACATACAGAGATGGCATCATGAAAGACTAGATAAACCGATTTTGTTTTCTTTTACTGTTCGCTTACCCTCACAAAAAATGATAGAAACAATAAAAATCTACCTTTGCCAGCTTCTCTAAGTTGTTGAGTGCTCATCCGATCAAATAATAGCATTCTTTCACAGTATTTTTCAAATACAGCATCGAAACCACGCCACCATTGCTGACCTTCTGCCTCCACATCCCTCCATTCATTTGAGCTTGTCTCTCCCTCTTCCTCTTCATCCTCCCCTTCCTCCGGGCAGGAATCTTCTTCAGGAATCAACACCATAAAACTGTTTCTTCTCAATTCTTTCAACCTTCTCTTAACCTCATTTGTAATAAAATCATCGTCATCCTCGGCTTCACCAGCAGAATCCGCATTTCCCGATTTAGACTGATCAGGACCGTCAGCGTTGAGCTTCGGTTCCTCGGGCTCAGCCACTGCCTTGTCTGACAAATTCTTTTCACCATCCGCTTTCGGAGATTTTCTGAACTTCTTCATTTTCAGAAACTCCATGCTTTATCACCTTACTTTCCTAAACAGACTATTCGAAGCTCAGCCACAATATTTTAAAATGTTTGACCAAAACCCACAATCAAATCCAATGGAAACACCAAACAAATAACTGACCCAAGAAATAGTAGTTTAGCTCTGCGACAATCAGCAACAAAGCGCAGCAGAACTTATGCGGAAGAAAATAACCTTTATTTAGCTTGTTGTAAAGGCAAAACCTCCTAGATTCCGTACCAAGTTCCAAGACAAGACATCAGCGATGAAATGGCCAAACCAGCATATGGCACCGTAGAAATGTCTCTCCTTTCAATTCAAATAGATGACAGAAATGAATCAATTAGTAGAGGAGTAGCAACCATTAGATAAAAAAGAGCAAAAGTACAACCCCCTTGATAGAAAAGGTGATAAAAGGAAAGTAGTGTCATTATGAACCCCACCCACCAAAATGCAATGCAAGAGATGGTCTATTCTTTATACCTTTGGCAGAAAACTAGGAATGCATTGAGCAATAACAGAGATCAGAGCTACCGACAGGGCAACTTCTCTCCGTGGTTATCACCCACATTCAACTTCTGAAACTCATCAGCAATAAACAGCGGATGACAAAAATGTCAGATTTTTAGATGATTAAGATGATAAAGACTAAGATACACTAACACCATAGCTAGTACCAATTCCAAAACTAAAAAAAGAAAAAAAGAACATGCACTGCATTACATACCCACATGCAATGCATACACGAAAATGACCAACAAGGCAGAAAAAAAAAACAACATTATTTTACACTGACCTGAGGATTTGGGAAAGTTGATATGAAGATCAATGTGACAACATACGAGGAAAGGCACCCCAGAAGCCGAAACAGAGGGAAAGAGAAACCCTAAGCTCGGAGAGAGCCGAAGAGAAGAGTGAAAAATAAACAAAAATGCAATAAATGTGAGAGAGAGTGCAGAGGGCAGAGAGCAGTGTGCAGTGAGCAGTGTGTTTTGTTTTGTTTGATTCCATTTCATCTCTCTCTTCCCATTTCATTTTCCTTTCATTTCCCAATACAATAAATTAAAAATGCAGGATTTGTATACGTTAAAAGCAAAACTGACACAATAAGCATAAATAAATACAGAAATAAAAATAAACATGATGTGTTTTGCTATTGTAAATGGAAATAGGAGCACAGCACTGTTCCCTATAAAAAAAACTAAGAAATAAAAGAAGACAGTGTTACCGTACACAGAATATTGTAAGAAAGCCGCGAAAAAGTTGTTTTTAATTTTGTTTTGTTTTCACAGTCATAAAGATCCTCAATTTCTGTCTAACATCTCTTCCAATCTCCTAATCCCATCAAAATCAAATCTTTTTTCGTTAATCAAAACTTGAAAAAGTCAAATAATTTATGAAAATGGAAAACAAAAACAAAGATAACATTTTGAACTCTTAGCTTTGTTCATAAAGTAGTATAGATGAATGGATGAATGTCTTTTCAGAGCTGAAAAGTAGAAGAAAGATGTTTGTGTTTGTTGACCTCTGATTTCATCATTCCATTTAGTCCAAAAACCATAATTCACGAATACTCAATGCACCAGCCATAAGTAAGGCTTTTTTACGCAAGGGATCAATTTTATTACAAAATTATATATCTGGGTTAAGTTTTTAAAAAATTTAAAAATTATCAGAAAAGTCAAGTCGTGCTCATGAAACACGATTTTGTTAGGAAGAAATCTTCATATTTTGAGATGACTTTCGTCATATAAACTAAGTTGTGTGAGTAAAACAATATTTCAAATTGTGAGTGGGATGCGAGTTTTGCAATACCGAAGTTGTGTCTATGTATGATCACTTGAGTTGAATGTATATTAAAAATAAAACATTATAATATATTGTGACTTTCATATTAAATAAGTTTGCATTAAAGTTGTCATCGACAATTTTAGCTTATTTATGATTGTTATGAAATTGTGGTATTATTGCATATTGGATGTGAGAGTGTTTCTTTTTTTTATTTTTCTTCAAAAAAATTGGAAAATTTAATGGGTAGTTGTGAATTGTTGAAAAACAACAAACATAAAGTTGATTAAAGAAATTATAATAAGTAAAAAGTTAAAATTCACAGAGGCAATGTGTTACTGAATAAACTCTAAATTCTAAAAATAATTACAATGAAAACTATATATATATATATATATATATATATATATATATATATAAGGATAATTTCAACTTAAAATCAATTTAACTAAAGTTACTATTCCAATGAAGTTCAGTTCAACTTAGTTAGACAAAAGTTACTATACACATTTGCAATTTCAATTATTTTTCAAAGAATTTGTTGCAAGCGTTTTTAGTTATAATCATTTTTAGAAGTTCTCACATCCAATAATGATTTAAGTTATAATTATTTTTAACAGGGGATGGCTTCGCTCAATAAGAAATTAAGTACATGATTAATTGAAAGTAATGCTTTGGAAGTCATCTTTAACTCTTATGACTTTATTTTTCACAAAGAAAACGTGTTTTTTTTCACGATTTCATCTTCAAAGGTCATATCTCATCTCTTATCACAACTTTTTTGAAACTTTAAAACGAAATCATGCTTATGAAACACTACTTAACCATGTCTTTATCTTTTACTATTTTTTTTATTCAAAAACAAAATTATTTATTTATTTTCAAAATTTTAAATGAATAATCAAATGTTCTATAATTTTAATGGTTTGCTAATTCTTCTCAATGCAATATTTAGACTTAAAAAACCATTTTATTAGTGTAAAGTTGGTACAATTGTCAAAATTAAGTGCTTTTATTACTCGTTTTGTTAATTGATTTCCTTTCTCTTTTATTCGATTTCTTTTCCTCTTTTACATTGATCTTCTCTTGGCTAGCCTTTCTCTTAGATGTTAAAGTGATGGAAAATCTATATAACAATGGAGGAACACAAGACACACCACCACCAATTCTTCTCACACAGTAACAGAGGACCCTTGCAGATTATTATGCAGGAAATGGATCAATCTATTTCAAACTTTGTTTAGTACACACTCTTGGACGTAGAAACAGAGACCAAATCCCGCTTTGTTGGGATATCTGACACAACATCAATTCACGAGACTTGATCATGAAACCCTTATGTTCCTGTTGGAGATTTTCTAGGGATTTGTAACACAGTAAAAATGCATCAAGTGACAAATAGATAGTAAAACAACTACTGCATGACTCCAATATTTTCCACATTAGAGTCTTCACAATCTAAAATTACCATTTCCATATTTCATCAAGGAGCATCTTAATTCCTATATGATGCTTGAGAGATGTAAAAGGTTTTGCTTAAGAGACGTGAAGTTAATGAATTTACTCAAACAAGCCTGTTTTTAAAATGTGTGAAGCCATACAAACATACTTTTTAATGTCGCAGCTGGTGATTACATTATGAATCAAACTTCTGATGAAGTGGCTAACCTTATGCATATCACCATGAAAAGTTATTATAAAATGCAATATGTCATAACCTCAATGACTAGAGAAGGAAGTTTTTAAGCTAAATTCCCAATATGCAATGTTAGTTCAACAAAAGTTTCTCACCCAACAAACTAAAGATTTGGAGAAGCAAACAACTCAAGAGTTCCAATTACTACAAATCATTAGATATGTTAGAAAATTTGTTTACTCCAATAGCACATTTAAATTATATTCTAAATATAATAGTACATCACCCTTGAAATCGAAGGACGCACCAAGAAAAAAATGGGAGCAAAAGCGTTTGATGTGATCAATTGGGATCTCAGAGCTGGTCCATTCTAGAGATACGTGAATGAAGGTATAGATATATACTTTTTTTGTTAAAAGAAAAAGGCGCCATTTTATCCGCAGAAAGGTTAGGTTCATTGGTATCTGCTAGTAACCTAACCAAGAAGATGGTATATGCGGAAACCTGCTTTTGGCACATGCCAACATATCATAATAATCTGATTGGTTGAAGCAATCACGAAAATCAGTAAAAAGCTTCTCAAACACCCTCCACTGTACTTCTAATGATCTGGTATAAGGGAATGGAAGAAAAACCTGCTCAAAATAACAACTAAAACGATTCAAAGGAAATGACCATAACATTTGAACAAACTAATGACTGGTGAATTACATAACAAATAGCCAGCAAGAGAACATACACATTTGAAATTGCTACCTGTGATTTCAATTTAGATGATGACATGTACAATCACGCTATACATTTGAATGGTATAAGCATAAGATGGAAACAAGATGTAAGATAAGTTGAGAGGTGAACAAAGAGGTAACAGATGTGGAGAAGTGTAGAAACATGTGTTGCAGAAAACATTTGAAGGGGAAATGAACAAGAAGTTAATTACATTACATCAGTAAGGAATTCATAAGGAAAAAACAAGTTAGGTTTGAGTGAAAAGAAAAGAAAAGCATGTGTTGGTTGGTTGCATCTTCTGCCAATCAGATTTTTTTTTTATCAGAGCAACAGAAAGAAAGACAGAGACTTACATCCCCTTCATGGGCAAGGCGTTTAAGCATGGAAAATGTGTGGTGGTTGTCGTCCAAATTGTGGAGGACAGCAAGCCAAATCCGAGAAGCAAGTTGGTGGGCGATTTCTCGGGACTTGCCGCAGGCAATGAACTGATCTGATAAATAGAAGAGTTGAGATGTGACGAAAAGATAGAACAAGTATGAAGAAGAAGAGTGAAGTGTGATTAGCACATACCAATGATGGTTCCATGAAGAATTCCACTGTGGGGAGGCATAATGAAAAGTTGAAGTTGGTGTTTCAAGAAGAGATAAGTGTGGCCCACGATCTCGTGAAAGTGATGGTGTAGTTGCAAATTGTGAGGATGAGAAGCAAAGATGCGTTGAGCAATGTATAAAGCCGTGAATCTGGTCTTGGAGTTGTTGGGTAGAGGAATGGGGCCTGGCCATGGGAGAGGGAGAGGGAGAGAAGGGACTGCCATGAGTGGATAATGGTAGGAAAGTGCAGCTTGCCAGAAGCATTCACAATTAGAGCTGAGAAGACTGGCCCAGTGCTTATTAACGCATGCTATCTGCTCCCACTCTCCTATTCCCCCTCTCACCAATATCTCTATCAACACATCATCAGGAATCTTCCCAATCTCACCTACCTCTTCTTCTTCTTCATCCCTCTTATTCTGCTCCCTTCCCTCATCCCCTTCTTCCATCAGTTCAACTTTTCACACCGTCGCTCTTTCTTTCAATCAGTCAGACCCCAAACTGATAACACAACCACTCTACTATTCTATTATTTAATTCTCCACAAGTTCCAGCGAATGGACTGAATGGGTTCCCATATTCGTGCCCATCTCCATCTTCCCTATTCCATTGGCCGTCTGCAGGCTTAATCATACTCTACAAGGGTAATAGTTAGGAGGGCTAACTGGGGCCCATGGTGATGAAATCATTTCTCCGTCTGATTTATGTTTTGTTTACAATTTTTGTTTAAATGATGCTTTCATTGACTTGTTCAAATGCGTAATTGGAATTTGAAAAGCTATCAGCTACCAATCTGATTGATACACGTACACACTCAGTAGTCCCAACAACTGATACAATTTTTTTAATTTTCTGGTCCCCATGACATACCAACAATGATCTATAGATATTACTACCTAGAATTTACAAATAAACCTGATAAGATAATAACAGATAAAACTAACAAGATATAATACTATCCATCTTATGCAGCGTAAAATGATTACAAGACACAATAGTATATAGCAGGATAGGGCTCCTTATCTTCCCACAAATTGTACAACTTATATTAACATTTCCACTTTCTCACCATCTGACTTTGCCAATATAATACTATCCATCTCATGAAGCGTAAAATGATTACAAGACTCCTGCACAGTACATAGCAGGATCAGGCTCGTTATCCTCTTCCCAGAAGTCGTATAACGTATATTAACATCTCCAATTCTACAACTAACACTCACCTCTTACTTTGCCAATATATAACGAATTCAATAGAAACAGTGCAAATATACATAAAGAAAAAGAAATTCAAATAAAGTCAACACAACAACTGGATATAATAGCCTTCTTTAGTAGCCAGAACTCCTTCTGTACTATATGACTCTGGTCAATTTCTCGCTCTAAATGAGTCCACTCCCATCCACAAAAGGTCATTAAGTGTTATGGCCGGCAAACAGTATAAGTTTTGAGAACTTCCCAATGCTCATCAGTAGAGAGATTGCGCTCTGGTAAAAACAAATACCCCCCCTCCACCAACTGCACGACCCAAAAGCATATTATCATCCAAATAACTGAGGTAATATAGTCCTCCCACCGATTCCCTACAATTAAAAAAATCATCATATATGTTTTTATCAAAAAAAAAACAAAAAAAAACACAGTATCTCAATAAAGTAGCCCGTATGACATACCTTCCTGGATCTCTCACAGGGATTTGAGCTTTGAAAGTGCGGAGAAATTGCAAAATCTGCAGGAGAAAGACACAATTATGTGTAATCTATAAACATTGTCTGTCTCACTGTATAAACAAAATATGTTAGCAAACAATTTTGACTTATGCACTAGTTCTCATGCAGATCACAATCATATTGGATCATTCCCATAAAGTATGGCACCAAAGATTGGAGCAAAGAACAGGCTTTGTGACATAAGTTACCGGTGTCAATGATATCCACATCCTATGCCATGAATAGCCACATTAAAATTAACATCCAAATACAACCATAACCTAAGGTTGACTTACCTGAAGACTTATAAAAGATCGAGGTAGTATTGCTGGAGCTATTACAGCCTGCAGCTCTTCACTAATATTTATATCTTGAACTGTGATCTGCCAGGTATAAATTGCATATTTCGACCAATGTTATAACAGCATCAGACCAATTAAAGAAAAAACATTATATTCATACCCAAATACCAATAGTAAGTGGCCTTTCTTTATATTAGTTCAGAAATAGCCTGGCATTTCCATTGAACTCTTTACACTTTCTTTAGAAATAAATACTGACTCAAACCGCATGATAAAATTCAGAAATAGAACACGGAAAAAATGTTATAACATAAAATGAAAACCAAAACTAATGTGGATGATCATTCCATAAGTTTCAAACCAGTTACGTAGAAGAGAAATTACGTATATTCTAAAAAACCCAGCATCTATTTAGACAGATATTGCACCTCAACTGTAGTATAAAGAATGCTCAAGAAAGTGAAAATGATTACCTCTTGAAACTGCAGGTATATATCACGGACACATACAAAATTAAACTTGGCGGATACAAGCAGTGAAAATTATTACCTCTTGAAACTGAAGGTATATATTACGGACAGATACTACGTTAAACTTGGCGGATACAAGCAGTGTAGCACCTTCTTGTTCCTATATGAAGAAGAACAAGAACTTATTAATTTTGGGTTCATGGAGAGAGCACCAAAGCTCAAGCTCAAGTATTTCGTCTAATTTCATTTTTCCAACAAATTAGCAAGAGAGGTTCACATTTGAACAAACCCTTTAAAACAAACACTATTGAAGTTAGAGTTTTCAACCAAAACAGAGATCTTGAACTTATCCATTGGGCCTATTGTAACAAAGGTTAAAACCATAAAGTATAACTTATGTTCCAAGAGAACGAGAAAAAACAAAGGGGAAGTCCAAATGTTCTTATCCAATTTTAATTTTAATTTTTCTTTTTCACCTAGGATGTAAGTATACTCATCTCTCATTAAAAGCAATCCTTTATGCAATGCATCTTCAAGGAGTAGACAGTAAAAATTTCAATTAGATAAAAGAAAATATAAGTGACAGAAATACAAAAGACAGTTTGTATTTCCACCCAGAATTCCAACAGAACATATTCAATATCCAACTGAGTTTAATATAACCTCTTCATAATATTGTAGAAATAGAAAGGAAGTAAATAATTGACTAGCGAAGTGTGATGCTAGTAAAAATAAAAGTCACAATCCAGTACCGGAACACTGAACTTTAGGACTTTGTCATGTATTATGAAGTTGCAGCCTCCCTAGCAGAAAACATGACAGGAGAAAGTAAAAGAAGGCATAGTTTCACCTCTAACAAATTTGGAATACTCCAACGAACAACATTGCGGATAATACCTCCATTAGATTGATCACGACATTCAAATTTTTGAAAGATCTGTCCAACCTATCTCAACATGAAAGCAAATGAAGAAACAAAACGGTAAGCAGGGTGTTAGAGATTCATTTTTACCTCTAAACCTTGCATTAATTACAGAATGGTGAGTGCAAAGATAAGTTGAATAAAGAAAGCATAGACAATAGATTTGAGATGGTGAAATTGAAAGTGCATTGGTATGTACTTGAAAGAAAGGAAGTGTAGCAGCAGCTTGGAGAAGAATGAGAACATCGGGGGCAGAAGTGTACTGGAGGCGCCATGTTCCATCCAACTTAGCCAGATTGATGGGGTCGCCCATGTTACGGCTTTCCACATTCACCAGAGCCTCCTCAATAGAGGAGCGTTGATCAGGAGTTGTTAAGAGACCCCTTTGCGTGTCTTGGACAGAGGTCAGAAGTAGATGCTTTTTGCTCTCTAATTCAGAATCATATGCCTTAAAATAAACCCAAAAACAAAAACAAACAAACAAAAAAGTGGCTTGTAATGCCTTGCCATGCCATGGTAAACTTAACCGGTGGAAAGGAAGAGTGAGAAACACGAACCAGAGCAGAAGGCACGGAGAAGTTCCTAACAGTGAAAGGTTTGTTCAAAATCAAAAGCCGGGAATTGAAATTAGGTCTTCTGGTTGTGAAAGTGGAAGACAGAGACGGTGGGTACAAGGCTGAATGAAAAGCCAGCTCCATTGCAGCAGAAACAGGACAACCTATACTATGTTTCACACAACATGACACAACACAAAGAATCCATAGCCGAATGAAGAATGAATTAGATTCATTACCTTTCCCTTGTTTTTGTTAATTGAGTGGCTGCTTCTCCTTGGCTACCACATCCACTCTCATTTATGCATTAACTCAGAAATCAGAGAGATAAGATGGATGATACAATACAACCAACACAATAAATTTTTATTCAAATTACTCGTGATGTTTGATCTATTATTAGTATTTTCCTTTTCTTATAACGGTATAATTTGAGAGACTGATGATTAATTTTATGTTAACGTTCTACAATGATTAAATAGGTTGCTAAAATTCTGTAATTATTAATTTTAGCCATTTAAACTAACAAAAATGAAAATGTGACTCACGGTCCCAGAACCACACCATGCCAAAAAATAATCAAAATAATTAAAATATGTTTATTGAGAAAGGAAAATAAAAGAATTTCGTGAAAAATATTTGAGGGACATATAATTTGCTTACACCTAAAGTGATGGAAAAAATTTAGAATTATACAATATATATAGTGATAGAAAATAAAACAGTTATGATGTATTTACAAAAAAGAATCGATTTGTATTCTCCAATTTTCATATCTATAACATTTCTGAGAAAGAGTCCAAACCATACTTTTAGTGAATATAAATTTTGCCTTATAATATTATCATTGATTCTATATGTAATTTGGCCTTAAAACGTATTTAAGTTTCTTATGTTATAGAAAGAACTGTAGAGAAAATAACTAATTCTTAAAAATCACGTAAGTTGTTCTTTACATTCCAAAAATTAATTTAAAAATAATAATAAAAATTTACCAAACAATAAATCGTTATATTTTAAATAGACGAACACATTGAATATACGTAGTTTCCCATATAAAACAGTGATACCCTTATCTTCTTCAACCACTGTGCTCTTAACAACAAAATATAATCTTCCTCAAAATTAACAAATTAATCTTCAAAATCATTTTAATCAATTAGTAAAAATTTACAACTAAATTAATTTAAAATTTCCCAAATAATATGACATTTAAGTTTTATTAATTTGAATTTGATAAATTAATATTAATTTAAAAAATTATTAGAATTGCAAACCTGGAAGGAACCATAAAAATATATCGTTACTAATTATAACTTATTATATAACAAACTTATTAACTTTCATAATAATTATCTTAAAAAAATTATATTTAAATAATGGTATAAAACTTAATATCATATCATCTTCATTACCAAATTTATTAATATATCAGTTATTTTCACTGGTTTAGACTACATAGTGGTCTTTAATGAGAATTTTTGTAAAATACTCTATAAATGTTGTGTGCAGTACGAAGACACAGAATGAAGAAACTCAGCTGGAAAGAATCATTTGGTACATAACATGGTAAACTTAAATCAAAAGGAAAAAACCAATGCCACCGTAAATTGAAACCCTAAGGTGATTTTGTTGTCCGACTTCACAAGATAAGTGCACCAGAAACATAAAATAAAAATCACTTCCACAACTTCCGCAATGACATATTTTTTTCAGTCTCCTTTTTCATCACCTTGGCCACAGCCATCTCAAAATCCTCCTGAGTCACGTGTACCCTCCTCTCCCTCAAAGCAAACATACCGGCTTCAGTGCATACAGCCTGAATACGAGACATAATTTGAGTATTAGACAGGCTCAGATACTGAAATAATTCATTGATTTAAACACTGACAAACTAAATTGCTCTGCGCTTGCGTTATTATAAATACTTAAATTCATTATGATGTATGACCGATTTCGTTTCACATTCTGTAACAAAAACACTACATTCGGGCTTACTTGTTTTATTTCCTCATCAATTCTAGCAGCATTGCTGATTTTTTTGGATATTATAATGGGTTCTCTTGTCAAATCGTAATAAAATCTCACTATTATATACAAGGCTCAGCATCCTGTGTAATGCTAATCGATGTCAAATATCTCAACTTGTTACTAACCCATTATAAAATCTCCCAATCACAAAACAGTGGTTTATTCTTGCTACTGTTTCCCTGTATTCATACGCCCACTAAGCATACCATACTCATTCTGTATCGTCTGTCTTGGTGGCTCAATATTCTGCAATAAACACTCTCATGTGATAATGGACCACTATTTTTAATGTATTCCATTTGATCAAAGTCGTTTCTAACATTTTGACCATTTTCACGGTATCTAGGCACAAACGAACTCACATTTTATTTATTCTAACTCTTGAGCAATAAATATACGAGATCAGCAACACCATCACAAATTGCTTCAAGAAGGACATATAGCAGATGGGGAAAAATGCAAATGAACAAAATACCTTAAGTTCAGCACCAGATGCTCCATTCATCTTCTCAGCAATCTTCTTTAAATCAATGCCACGCATTAAATTCATTCTCCTTGAATGGATTTTCAAAATATCCAGCCGAGACTGCATAAACAAATACAGTTATTTTCAGGAATAATAGTTATGAATGCACCAGGTGCACCTTTTATCCCATTACAAATATATTAACAAGTAAGATGTAGGAAAAAAGGAACACCTCTTCATTAGGGTTAGGAAATTCAATCTTCCTATCAATCCGTCCAGGTCTAAGGAGAGCTTGATCCAAGATATCAATCCTATTTGTTGCCATCAAAACCTACAATTTGAAAAATTATCTTCAGAACCTCCACAAAGAATTGTGAAGTTATCTCAAATGCACTACATACAGTAAATAATATTTGAAATGTTCAACTGGTTCAAGTTTCTATTTATAACAGTGGACATCAGACTAGTTTTAAAATCCCCCATTTTCCCTTAATAGTACAGTATAACAGATACAACTCCCTTTACCTTGATCTTGTTTGAAGCTTCAAATCCATCCAACTGGTTGAGAAGTTCCAGCATAGTACGTTGTACCTCACTATCACCATTGCCACTTCCAGATTCCATCCGAGCAGATCCAATGCTGTCGATTTCGTCCATGAAGATAATTGATGGAGCATGTTCCCTGTCAAGAAGACAAGAGTTGCATAATAACAAAATTGAAAGTTTATGAATAAAATGTGTTAATCATAACTTCTTAAGGAGAATAAAAATGTCCTTACTTCCCTCTTTACAAATGCACTTATTAGTGGAAATTGTAAAAAAGACAATACTCACACCGAATCCCATCAGCACCTGATACATTGTATGCATCTAAGACCAAATTTGACAATCAAAACCTAAGAAACTATGCTTCAATCTTTGCTCTGGGTCAAGTTAACCCATCCCATCTTAAAACTATCCCCAACTAACAGTCATAAAGCCAATGAGACTTCATATTTAGAAGAATGCTAGAAACACACACTGCCGCATTAGTTAAAGTTTATTGAAAGCTACAAAACAAAGAGAGGCTCATCAAATGATTGGGAAACCCCACAATTATTTTTTTTTTTTGCGGTTTTCAATCAATTAGAACGAGAGAGTCTATTGCTAGCATTTCTCTTGTTTTTATCCTTTTTACTTTGGTATAAACAGATAAGAAGAACAAAGGAACCTAAACAATGAGTACAAACCTGGCCATAACGAAAAGTTCCCTGACCATTCTAGAACCTTCTCCAATGTACTTCTGAACCAATTCAGAACCAGACACCCTTATGAACGTACAGTCAGTATGATGCGCCACTGCCCTAGCCAACAACGTTTTACCTGTACCAGGTGGCCCATACAGCAGGACACCCTTTGATGTGTTCAAGAGATTCAGCAAATAGAAAATTAACATCCAAAGTTTGCTGATTGAATGGCATAGAATTTAAAATCAACTACAAATTGAGGGACTACCTTTGGTTGTGCAATTCCAAGACTCTCAAAGAGCTCAGGATGCTTAATTGGTAGCTCGATAACCTACATAGTTAACCACGTATATGAGGCCCAAAAAAATTACTGATCTTTTCTAATGTATAATGTATATATACGCAGAAAAATATGTCCATACAGAAAATAACACAAGTGATGCATGGACAAACACAGATGGATTGATAGAAACATCAGGTCCTACCCGTGAGAGATTTTGAACATTAAATGCTAATAAAATTGAAAAGCTCTATGCAGTGTACCTCCTTGATTTCTTTGATTTGCTGGTCTAAACCACCAATCATGTCATACGTAGAATCAGGAACTTTCTCAACTTTCATCAGATTGACCAACGGATCAACTTTACTGGGCAGAACTAAATGAAGAACATAGCTATCATTGCGAAGTGCAACTCTAGTGGATGGAGTGATCTTTGTAATGTCAATATTTTTGTCAATGTCGACAACATATTTTCCTTCTGGGTGGACCTGAGAAAAAGTAAAGGAAAATCAGCACTTTATCTTGGTTCTGATCCTGCATTTTACTAATTTCACAAATAAACATGCAGTACCAACCATCCGATGAAGTCAAACGTTTGTGACTAACAGATGAAAATAAATGATGCAGTGTCGTTTGGTAGATCTTTTCAGAACTAAACATTGCTTTAAATAATCCAACAACAGTCAGTGATACTTGAGGATGGAAAAAGTTTGCAACCAAGCAAACGCAAATGTTGTAGAGTTGAAAAGCAGGAGATCATAAATATAAACATAGATCTATAAAAGAATTAGCAAAATAGTATTTAAGTGTACACTCATACACCAAAAGGAGATTCATATTTATAAATATAATTGGAGAGTGCTAAAGAAAGATGACCAAAAATGAAAGAAAAGAGAGAAATGAGGATGTGACCTTGACAAGGACTTTGTTCTTGCCCATCACTTTGACAACTTCACCAACATAGGAGCCAGGCTCCTGAAGAAGCTGCAACTCTTCGCGTAGCATCCTCACTGCCGGAATTGAAATGAAAAAGAAAGATGAATAGAATTAGATAAGGGAAACCGAAAGAATAAAGTAGGGCTAGGGTTAGGGTTAGCGGACCCCTGGAATTGAGCTTGTTACGCTGAGCCTCAAGACGGTTGAGGTTATGCGTCTTTTGACGGAGAAGGAGCTGATGCTCGTGGATGTTGAGAGAATAGTAGTGGCGGAGACCCTCGCCCTGCTTGGTGGGCTTGGCGGAGCAATTCTCCTCCGGCACACCCTCCACATGCTTCACTTCAACTCCCGCAAGAGCCATAGATACAAAGATAGATCTCTCTCTGCCTTTCGGCGATGAAAATCAGAGCAAAACCCAAACCACCACCTTCCTGATCCTCTCTCTTCT